CGTCACAGAAAGGAATCTGTCTTAGGTTTGCCAAACGTGTATCACATTCACTGATTCATCATTATTTAACCCATGGTTGTTTTTGACACTCAAACTGCATTTTTTTAAAACAAACATTTCAAATGCTAAATTATAAAGCTGTGCCGCCCAGCACAGCAGTAACACATCCCTGTGGCTATTTGAATTTCTATGCTAATTAAGTGAAAGCAAAATGGAGTCCTTCCATCTCAGTAGAATACAATTCAAGGATTTGGGAGACACCTGTGCTTAGTAGATAGAATGGAGATTATAGAATATTTCCATCACCAGGGGGAAAAAAAAAAAAAACTCCACTGGAAAATGGTACAGAGCCTCATCTGCAAAGAAAGAAGGCTTCGGGAACATTTCAGAACATTCTGAGGTGACGGTGCTGTCATCCATCCAACGTTAAGGGGGGTCTAAGGGGCTAATAAGCACACGAGGAGAAGGAGAAATACTATGGTACGCCTGTTGTGGATGTTCTTGCTCTTAAACTGTTGAAGAGACTGGGACAAACTGATCTATAAAGGAATTAAACCACTGTAGAGGATCCAGAACAGTTGGCCATAGAAACAGGATTTTTACAAAATTGATTTCAAACTAAGCGGAGTCACAGTTCATTTCAGTGCCGATATTTACTCTTTTGCACAATAGTTTGTTTTGTTTTACGTGCTATTACATAGCTGCCCCTTTCAGAAGGGAATTAAGGGGCCGGACAGTGTCACAGCAGGCTAACCCCCCACCTGCGGCACTGGTATCCCAGTTCATGTCCTGGCTGTTCCACTTCTGACTAAGCTCTCTGCTTGTGATCTGGAAAAGCAGCGGGGAATGGCCCAAAGTCTGGAGCCCCTGCTACCAATGGAGAAGACCAGGAGGAAGCCCCTGGCTCCCAGGTTTGAAGGAACTCAGCTATTGTAGCCACTATGACCACCTGGAAATGAACCAGTAGGTGGGAGACCTCTCTCTGTGTGTCTCCTCTCTCTGTAAAATTTGCCTTTCAAATCAAAATAAATATTTTGAAAAGGGAAAGGAATTAAAATGCCAGGGATTTTTAAGATAAGTTCACACAGCAACATAAAAAGTGCAAGAACAGGTTAAAAAGGTATCTTATTCACTTATTCACTAATCCACCAGAAGAGAGTATGTAAAAAAAAAAAAAAATCCATAAGTGATTCGAAAGAAAGTAAAACAAAATTACTTGTGGAGGACACTATCTCATCAAATCCATACCCTAAAACTGGCAATTAAAAAACAAGTAATCAGGGCCCAGCATGGTAGCCTAGCAGCTAAAGTTCTCACCTTGCACGGCCAGGATCCCATATGGGGACCGTTTCTAACCCCAACAGCCCTGCTTCCCATCCAGCTCCCTACTTGTGGCCTGGGAGAGCAGTCAAAATAAAGGTATGCCAGCAAAAGCAGGTAGAAATAATTAGAGAACAAGAAAAACCACCATTTTAAAACTCCTAATGAAATGATCAAGTCAGGCAAAGACAGTTTGGGAGAATTTTTAAGAAACTACACATAGGAGCGATGGCTAGATCCTCACCTTGTGGGCACTGGGATCCCACATGGGCACCAGTTCCTGTCTCAGATACTCCATTTCCTTTCCAGAGCTGTGCTTATGTTCTGGAAGAGCAGTGGAGGATGGCTCAAAGCCTTGGGACTCTGCACCTGCCATGGGAGACCCAAAAGCTCCTGGCTTCGGATTGGCCGCTCTGTCGTGGCCATTTAGGAGAGTGAACCAGTAGATGGAAAATCTTTCTGTCTTTCCTTCTCTCCATAAAGTTACTCTGCCTTTCCAATAAAAATAAATCTGGGCCCAGGGAAGTTCATGTCCCAGCTGCTCCACTTCCCCTCCAGCTCCCAGCTTGTGGCCTGGGAAAGCAGTCCAGGACGGCCCAAAGCCTTGGGATCCTGCACCCGTTTGGGAAGAAGCTCCAGGCTCCTGGTTTTGGATCAGCTCAGTTCCAGCCGTGGTGGCCACTTGGGGAGTAAACCAGCAGATGCAAGATCTTTCTCTCTGTAAATCTTTCCAATCAAAATAAATAAATCTTTAGATAAAAAAAGATATCATACATGAATTTCATGTAAGCTCCACCCCACAGGCTACCAGGAATGACAAAGGACGCGGTGACCTCCATCACACTGCAGCCACCTAACATCACTAACTAGTAGGACAACTAGAGATTGTCTCCTAACTAGCATGAGATACGGACACAACCATCCCCTATGAAATGTGCTTATTTAACAAGGAAGAAGAACTTGAACCTGCATCTCATCAGCCCTGGCAGCAAAGCAATGTTTATGGCTTAGTTCTTAGCCCAGCGGTGACAATGGAGGTTAGTAGGGTAGAGCCTTCGGGAGTGACAAAAATCACAGGGAGGGCATCCCAGGACCAGAACGGCTGTCGTTACAGCTAGTCCCTCCACCGCACAGGAGCAGAAGGCACACAGCTCTGTGAGCCGGGACCCTGGTCCTCACCAGTACCGTCAGGGCGTAGCTCCTGGACTCCCCAGCCACTACAACCAGGAATCATAAACTTCTCTGGTTGAAAAGCCGCTGAATTCACCGTACTTTGTCCCACCGGACTAAGCCTTTACAACTAATTCCCTCTTAACAAGAACAGAAGAGGGAAGTTAAATGACTCTATAAAAACAATCAGAAAATTCCAGAAGAGGAAACATTCTAGAGGACAACAGAACTCCTTACTAAATCAAGATGGGGTCTTTGTAGACTAAGAAAGTAAGATAAACCATCAAATAAATACAGTCTGTGTCCCTTAGTTAGAAGAAATTTGTGTAGAAAAAGGAGCTATAAAAGACATTTCAGAATAAATCAGGAAATCTGAATGTGGAGAATAAATGGGGAAAAAAATCATTTCTTTTGTTTGGGATGACGATATTGTAACTACTGCACAAAAAGTCTGCTTTTATTTTTCTAGAAATTCATACTAACGCATTTAGAAGTAAAAGTGATTTTTTTTAAATATACTTTAAAACACTTAAACTAAGGGGAAAATCGAGACACATGCTGCAAAATGTTAAAATCTAGGTTCTTGGGCCCATGGATGTCATCAACCTAACTTCTCTAGGTTTCTGAAAGTTCGAGAATTTTGTAATTTTATAAAATTTTCAAAATGCCAAGTTATACAGGCATATGTTTGAAATGTACCTATTTCAAATTTTATGACACACTGAAATGCAAATACTTCACTTGCCTACGAATAACTTATTGTCTTAAAATTTCATACTTCTGTTCTTTTCCGGCAATTATACAATCAAAAATCAATTTCAAATTTTCATAGAAAGAAAATTTAACAAAAACCAAAAATGTTTTTAGATGCATCCCGCCTAGTTATATTTGTCACCTCAAAAAAATACATAAATAAATTCTAGTTTTCTGCTAGTTTCGACCTGTTTACAAATAACCAATTCGCCATCCTTGATGGTCAAGGCATCTCAGCTCCGTCATTGTTTCTGAGTCTGTCAAAGCCTGCCAGATCAGGCAACAAGTGCATTGTCGCACATGTCATCATTCAAAAACCAATGACGCTCTTTCTGCCAACTCCTTACCGTTCTAACTATTTGCTCTGTTATAGTACAGGTTCCTGGAACCTGAGCGACGTGTGGAAAAGACCAGTCAAAGCATCTGTGTGGAATTCTGCAAATTGTCTATTACCACTGACTTTTTTTATCCCTATTAGAAATGTCAATTTCAGATGATTGACGAATTGGGGCTTCTAGGCAGACTTCATTTTTGCCCCCTCTATCGTTTCCAGCTGCTAGGTTACATTTAATTCTATTCTGAGCATGTATTCACATACGCTAAGCATCTCCAAGATGGAAGTAACGGTTAAGGAACTGTATATATTCCATAAAACATATTCAGGTTAGAGATCAAAGAGTCCTTATGCGCAAACGGCTCAAGAAATAATAAAGAATAATTTACCCATGCAAATCAATCATTATTACGGTTTCAAAAAAAAATATCCCGGCCCAGAATAAATTCTGTGCAGGCCAAGTTTCCCACACTTTGCAGAAAGCCCGGCTCTCAGGGGAGTACCAAAGCTCACAGGGCCCTCCAAGGCCGCCCAGGAGCCACCATTGTCCAGCAGTAGCTTTGTCGGACAAAGACCAAGTGCCAATGTGACTCTGTTACTGCCTCGGTCCAGCCAGCATTCATCAGCCCCGATTCAGACGCCAGAGAAAAGTACCAGTCCAGTATCTCTGGCACCTTCTCTTCTGGAGTTGAAAAGCACCCAGCACCCCCACCAGCCTGCCCTCCCTTGGCTTCTCGCTACTTAAACACACAGGTGCAAACACCTCTCTCCCGGTCCCTGGAACCCCAACCAACGAACACAAAGCATCAACAAGAAGAAAGGAGAAAAATAAAAAGGAGAACCAAGAAGCCAGGTGGCTGTTTAGTTTCACTTTGAAAGCGACCCACACTCATTTACACACCTGCAAAGGAGAGACTGCCCTAAAAAGGTGTGTGTGTGTGTGTGTGTGTGTGTGTGTGTGTGTGTGTGTGTCTGATTGTAGTAACCAGGCCATAAGTCACTTTCTACACAGGTAACCCAGAGACCCCTGGGGCATGAAACGCTGTCAAATGTCAAAAGGCATGGTGGACAGAAGCTGGCACAGCTTTTGTACGAAGCCACTGGAAATCTCACTTCAGACCACTGGAGGCACCCCAGCCTCTGGGAACCGAGAATCTAGCAAACTGACCACATCCCTACACTAGCCCGATTCATCACCAACGCCACAGTGGTGACAAACCAATGACATAAAAATATTTCGGGGTCCACCCTTGGCAATAGGTCAGGGACCCACACGGGTGCAAGTGAGCATGTGTTAGGAATAGCGCCACAGCTTCATCTGCCAGTGCAGGTTGGGGACCAACAAACGACAGGGGGGACCGTGAAGCCAGGGGGCGGTGGCAGCGCAGCGCGCAGGGCGGCGAGGGGCGCGCAGGTCACTCACCCCGTTGGCCGCGGCCATCTGCACCACGATCTCCGTGGCCGCCCTGCTGAAGTACCTGCCGTCGCTGCCCACCACCATGGTGCAGCCCTGGCGGTCGCGCAGATCTATGGACGACAGCACGCTCTGGATGAAGTTGGGCAGGTAGTTGCGCTGGCCCTCAAACAGGCCCGTGGGCCGCCGCAGGCCCCCGCCGCCGGTCGGCCGCTGGTCCTCGTAGGGCGCGGTGGGCACCGTCAGTACCGGGATGGGGCTGCCCTCCATGGCGCCTCCTGGCCGGTCCTGCCGCGGCTCCGGGGGAGAGCCGGAGGGAAATGAGCAGCCTGCAGGGGCCCCCCACCGGCTTGGCAGAGAGCCCGGACTCCGCCTTGCGCCCGGCCCCTTCCCCAGCCGCCCTGCGCTCGCTCTGCGCCCTCCCTCGCTCTGCGCCCTCCCTCGGCTGGCTCCGGGGGCGCTCCTCCTCTCCCGGCGTCCCTTTCCTCCCACCCCCGTAAAGTTTTCTCCCGCCAAACTTTTCTGTGGCGGTGTCCCCAAAAGTCAGACCGTGGTCCAGAGGCAAGTCCTCCGGCGCCTGGCCCCAGCCCGCTTCAGCGATCGCTTCTCTGGCAGGCTACCCTTGCAACAAGCCGGGGTGAGAGCTGGAGCAGAGATGGGGGGGGGTCTTCTCTCTCCTCCCTCCGCGATTTCTCTAAAGAGCGGAACAGTGTGGGAGCCCAAGTTTTTCTCTTCAACAAGGGCAGGCAGGGAGCTGGGAGGCGGCTGAAACCTTTTGCCATCAGAGAAACAAGCCCTCGCCAAAAATAACCTTGGAAAGGGGAGCCGAGAATTGTTCTCCGCTGCCAGCGCTGAAACCGGAGGCTGGGCGCTGTGGGTGGGTGCGTGTGTGTGTGTGTGTGTGTGTGTGTGTGTGTGTGCGCGCGTGTACACACCCACCACAAACATCTGTTGCTGGGGATCACACACTGTCAGGCCCTTCACCCAGCAGGTCCCACCCAGGCTTGCCCAGCCTCTGTCAAGGCAACACAGTTGGCAACAAGGGAACTTGTTCCTTTTCTTTCTTCTTTTTTTCTTTTTTTCTTCTGGCCTATCTGCTGGTTATGGTCATTTTAACAGCAAACTAAAGGATAGTGGTTAGGCCGCATCAGGTGCCCGCATCCTCTTATTCTGTAAAGGCTAGAGAATTTCTGCCTGCTGTCCGCAAAATTCCCCAAAAATTCAAAAGCAAGATCTAATTCATAGCAAACCCAGAAAAAAGGAGACTAACAGGAGAGAGAGGGGGGAGAAGAAACAGCTAGTATGTTTGCTTCTGTGTCCCCTTTAGGCAACTGACTAATCATTAAGGCAACTGTCATGAAATCGACTTGTCCTCACTCAACTATTGTCAACCTCCTGGCAGGAAGCGTGACTTGCCCTGTGGCAACAGAAAGCACAGTGAGTATGCTTAGCAACTCACATTTCTATTTGATTGTGCAGTATACAAAAAAATTGACACCTATGTTTTTGTTACTTTAGAAGCCAAAAGAAGTGGAATAAAATTGGGCAGATGAGAGGCCTCTTAAAAATAGCTTAAGAGGGTCCAGAGCCATGGCCTAGTGGCTTAAGTCCTTGCCTTGAACGCTCCGGGATTCCATATGGGCGCCGGTTCTAATTCCAGCAGCTCCACTTCCCATCCAGCTCCCTGCTTGTGGCCTGGGAAAGCAGTCGAGGACGGCCCAATGCTTTGGGACCCTGCACCCATGTGGGATACCTGGAGGAGGCTCCTGGCTCCTGGCTTTGGATCTGCTCAGCTCCAGCTGTTGCAGCCATTTGGGGAGCGAACCAGCAGATGGAAGATCGTCCTCTCTTCTGTATATCTGACTTTCCAAAAGTAAAATAAATCTTTAGGAAAAAAAATGGGTTAAGAAAGTGGCCAACACGTCACTTGCAGGGAGCCAGAATTCCTGTATTGCGCCTTTCATTTTTATTAATATGCTGACATTATTAGAAAAAAAAAAACACTTCAGCTATCAACTGGAGTCCCCTGGGACCTTTTAGCCATTCTCTGAAATAAGAAAAATGGAGTTAAGAAGGTGGATTAGATAAACAGAGAAATTATATTCTGGGAGCACTGAATTCCAGGAGACACCTGTTGGCAACTGCCTTGGTCACTCTGGACCTAGGCAAGTGTCCCACTTCTAGGTGAAAAGCAGCCGGTGGCTGCAGGCGTTCTGAGCTCAGTTAATGTGCAATGTGTGTCAACTACACCTCTGTGCTAGCGTAACTGCTTATTCTGTGCTTTTTAAGGTCTGTTGGGAGATGGGAAATGCTGGACAACGTCACACACACTATCCCCCGGGCTGCCTAGAGAAGAAGGGCATCTAGCGACAGATTGGAGTGGAGAGGCTGAGGACGTGTTCGGCAGCCGAAGAATGACTTGTGGGTGTTCCACAAACAGGGTCACTGCACTCACAGGCAGGTAGGGGCGGGGGGGGAAGCAGAGGGCATGTCCGAGTCAGGTCAAGGCACCAGCCCAAGGGGGAGACCTGGGCTGGGCTAAATGGCATCGCCCACCCCTGCAGGCACACACAAAAGCTGGGGCTGGGGGACATGTGCAGCTGGGCTAGGCCAACAGCACTCACCCGTGACCGTCAGAGCTCAGGGAAGGCCATGTAAGGATGGGCCCCAGCACCCACCAGAATAAGAACCTGACCTGAGGGCAGATTCTGTAGTGGGACTTGTTGGCTTGCCTCTGTGCAACTGCCACACCTGCTGGTTCTGCATGAAGAGCTGAGGGTGGTGACAGACTGAGCCAGGCTGAATTGTGGAACTCGTCTGATACTCCCAGGCAACACCCAAGGGTGTGTATAAAGAAAGTCAGATGGGATACGAGCTGAGCTGGGCTGGGCCACAAGAGAGACTGGCACATGCAAAATTTTGGGCAGGAATTGGAACAATGCAGAGATTAGCATGGCCCCCATGCACAAGGATGACACACAAATTTGTGAAGCATTCCATAGTTAAAAAAAATAAATAAATAAAGTAAAAAACAAAAACAGAACTGGGGCAGGCATGGGGGGAGTTACTGTGGATCACCCCAAGTAGGCCACAGCACTTGCTGGTGTGTGTGAAAACCAGGCCCGTGGCAGGCTGGTTTGGGTCAGGCTGCAGCACGCATCAGTTTAAGTGAGAGATAGGGCTGGAGTAGTACTGACCACTCATCTGTACCCAAGTTTGTGTGTCATCTAGTGCAGGTGATGGGTTAAACCTGACCCTGCACTGGCTGGCGCACACAAGAATCAAGTCCAAGGTCACCCCAGGCAAGTTTTCTTAAGGGACTCGCCACCCAGGTGACTGGACTCAAACCCTGGCCACAGTGGAAACCACGATATATGTGGTCCAACCTTGGAGTGGATAATTCAGGACTAGGCCTCTTCTGTTGCTTGTACCTGTGCAGTATAGACAGCATGCCCAGATGCCCACAAAGGACGTGACAGCCAGCTCATCTAGGACGACAGAGGACGGCGAGTGGCTCATCAGAGGAGGGAGAGCAGAACAGTTTGGACCACTCTCCTGGCCAGGTTTTTGCAATATGTTCTTTGGCCCTGTGGATACACTCAGGTGGACTTGGTCAGCCAGTGGACCTTGGAAAGGTTTTCTCAAACCTGGAGCAATGAATCTAATGACACCTCAGAACTACCATCAAAACTACTCAAGGGCCCAGCAGCGTGGCCTAGCGGCTGAAGTCCTCGCCTTGAACGCCCCGGGATCCCATATGGGTGCCGGTTCTAAGCCCAGCAGCTCCACTTCCCATCCAGCTCCCTGCTTGTGGCCTGGGAAAGCAGTCGAGGACGGCCCAAAGCCTTGGGACCCTGCACCCACGGGGGAGACCCGGAAGAAGTTCCTGGATCCTGGCTTTGGATCAGCATAACATCAGCCATTGCGGTCACGTGGGGAGTGAATCATCAGACGGAAGATCTTCCTCTGTGTCTCTCCTCCTCTCTGTATACCTGACTTTCCAATAAATAAATAAATCTTTAAAAAAAAAAAAAAACCCCACTCAAGTTACACCCTCAGCAGACCCTTCCCGACACTGGGGTCTCGAAGGGGCCATCAAATGACTGTCCCCCATCCCCAGGCACTGATGTACTGTGACAACAAGGAGTTATAACCTCCCCTTCTCTCTCTGCAGACACAGGAGGACAAATATTGGACCATTGGTCCCACACAGCCTCTTCCATGCCTCGACCCTTCCCACCAGAGACCCACATGTGCACGTATCTCTCTCAACTATGTAAATATTGAAATTTTTTAAATAAATCTTACATCTATTGCACAGCAAGCTGACCACAGTTAATAATGTAATAAACTATTTCAAATGTTCTCATCAAAAATTGAAGAGATGAATATGTTGAATAGACTGATTTAATCACTCCACTTTGTATACATGCATCATAATATGACACTGAACTCTACAACTATATGTCATTTTACTTTACCAAGTAAAAGTACTTATTTTTAAAGATTTATTTACTTGGGCCCAGCGCAATGGCCTAGTGGCTAAATCCTTGCCTTGTATCTGCCAGGATCCCATAAGGACGTCGGTTCATGTCCCAGCTGCTCTACTTCCCATCCAGCTCCCTGTCTGTGGACTGGGAAAGTAGTCAAGGACGACCTAAAGCCTTGGGACCCTGCACCCACGTGGGAGACCAGGAAGAAGCTCCTGGCTCCTGGCTTCAGAATGGTTCAGTTCCAACTCTTGTGGCCACTTGGGGAATGAACCAGCGGGTGAAGGATCTTTCTCTCTGTATCTCCTCTATGTATATTTGCCTTTCCAATTAAAAAATAAATAAAATTAGTTTTTAAAAAATTATTTACTTATCTGAAAGTCAAAGACAGAAGTTTTCTATCCAGCGGTTCACTCCCCAAATGGCCACAACAGGCCGAGCTGGACCAGTTTGAAGTCAGGAACCAGTAGCCTCTTCTGGAACTCACACATGGGCACGGGGATCCAGCCATCTTGAGCCTAATCTCACTGCTTTCTTAGGAAGTTAGATCAGAAGTGGACCAGCCAGGACCTGAACCAGCATCCCTATGGGTTACCAGCACCACAGATGGTGGCTTTGGCAACCACAGCCCAGCACTGACCCCAGCAAGTAACATTTTAAAAAGAGTGCTTTGAGAGGTTGTTGCTTACTGCTGATTTGTCTTCCTCTGTCTCCTTATCTCCCAGAGCCCAGCCTCCTGGGATATCCCTACTGTCACTGACACTGTGAAAACAAAGATTTTAGCACCAAAACAGAACCCCAGTGCTTGGCAGGATCTGTCCACACGCTCTGGGGCTTTCCAAATCACTTTGTAAATGACACTTCCATTCGTAAAGAAGGAAGTTAGCATTGCCAGCAGGAGTGGATGTGACAGCCTTTGCCCAAGCAAAGGAGACTAATACACAAAGCCACAAGCTTCAGAAATGACCAGGAGCCCTCCAGGAT